TATTTCAGACCTCGCTTCTGTACAAAGATGACCTTTACAGGCAGCATAAAGAGCTTCAGTTTTAAGTGCCAGGCTGACGCATTTCGTAATGGACTTGTGATGTTCTCATGCGGAACTTGTGTAGTGAATGGCCGTCAATGATTTGCAGTCCTATTATGTTAGCTCATTTGCTTGGGGAAAGTGCTCAAATCCGGTGTCGAATGAGTTCACTCGTCGTTGTAATCTTGATGTTGAAATCAAGTCCAAGTGTGTCCGTGCTCATCGGCATTTCAAGGCAAAGCATCTCCCTGGAACAAGCACGCATTGGGGCAAGCACTCGTCTGCAGTGGTGGCTCTGAGCAGGTGTTGGAAATTCCACATTCCCATGGCAGTTCGCAGGTTTCTTTGTAAGGCAACCACTGTTGTCGTCCCAGAGGGCGGTGCTCACGTTCATGCTTGGCTAGGCCACGGTTTGAACTCACAAACTTTCCAATTCTGAGTGAAGTGTGTCCTGAGCACAGCTCCCACCCGTCTGGAAAGAATAGCTATCCAATATAGTGCACGTGCCAATCTTAACAAAAGCGAAGGGGGGGGGGGGTCTGGTTGCGCGCTTTAATTTACGGCGGGCGGGGGGTGAAAGTCACAGTTTGGCTCGCTAATCGAATGAAGGGAGAGGGCGCATTCCACGGTTGGCGCTCGGGGCACCGGCGCTCGACGCATCTGGAGAGTGGCACCAGCCAACGTGGACATCCTCGTTGCTGCAGCTGCTGCTGCTGCCCCCTCACTCCTGCCTGCCCGTTGGTGACCAGCGTTCTTTGGAAAGGACAATTGGAGCATTGCGTTTTTTATAACGGCTGCTTATCTCAGCCCCGTCGCCAGACAGCCTTGGTCATCACGGATAGCCCTGGTGGAGTGCCGTTGGTGCTGTAATCATCGCAGTGACCCCCCTAGATGTGGTCAAATATCATGTGAGGAGCTCTCAATCATCGGAGTCTTTTGATTTAATGAGCAGTCGGGACTGAACTTTGCTGCGACATCGGCGATCAATAAACGTCTCACGCGCGTCTCTCGTGAATGCTGTGACACCCTCGATGGGATCAAAGGTCACGAGCAGGTTTCCCTTGGAGTGCAGCCTTTTCATGCATTTACACGTGTGCGATACGTTGCTCTGTCTAGAGTTATCCGCAGTGCATTGCTTGGCATCGCTCGGCGAGCCTTACACTGTGAGATCCTGCCCTCAAAAGTGTGTGTGTGTGTGCGCGCATGCCAGTTGAATTGTGAACGTGCGAGTGTGTGCCGTACGGTGCATTGGGTGACTTGTTTGCCTTATTGCTTTTGAGATAAATGACGCCTGTTCCTGTTTGGCCGTGCGTGCTTCATACGTGCATTTGAAGTTCACTTTCAATTTATCAACTGATGTGCACACGGGTTCGTACGCTTGTCAAAGACTAATTATTGAATATATTCCCATGGTTAGTCATACTCTTGGCCGGTGCTTAGTCTTAATTAATTTGTTCAATGAAAACTATAATTGTGAATGAATGCGAGTGGTGAGGAAATCGAAGATTGGGAAGAATGTGACTCCGCTAGTTAGTCAGAGCTGGAGTCTCTTTGTATTCTAACAAAACAAATTAATACATTTTGGCTTCAAAATTAAACATGACTTCACGTCCTACATCTTCCCTCGTATTCCCCCAACCTTTCACATTTAATCTTTCTAGAGGCCCAATGCAATGCCTTCAGCCTACAGTACACACAGAGGGTGTTTATATATATTACACAAAAACTTTATAACTCTTGGCTGTTGTCATTAGTGCCGGATGCTATTAAATGTCCTCACATCTAATGCAGTAGAAGTCGATTGGAAATCTCCCGACTCAAATGAGCGTGGGCCGGTGCTCGTCACAATCGGCGACCCTGAGCCAGTGCTCGGAATTCCATGTTACTGGGGCGAGGGCCAATCGTTCCACGATACACCACTGTACGTACGCACAGCTGTGCCGATGTGTGTTTTTTGTTTACTTCGACAAAAACGAGGTAACACATTTCCAGCGAGCGACAAATGCGTTGTTAAACATTCTTTTTATATCTATACACGGCCCCTAAGCATTACCCCCGACAGAGCGGGGAGCGAGCTATGGCCCACGCCTCAAACGCGAGCCCCTCCGAGTGTGCGGTTACCACCGCCGCCGCCGCTGTGAGTGGTGCTACACACAAGGGACATTGGCTCCTGTACCCACAAGCCACCTGGATCTCATCCGACAGCTGCCCCCTCGGGGGGTAATTGAGCAAATTAGTTTCAGGTCAGGTGCTGGAGGGCACAAAGGGCTGTGACCGGTGGGGGCAAGGGGCTCTGATGGAGATGGGAGTGGAGGGGGGGGGGTCACAGTGGGCACAGGAGGTGGCTGGTGGGAGCCGGGGAGGGTGGCGCAGGAGGGGTATAATTAAGGGATGGTGGGGGCTGCGATTTGTGATGTGGTCCGTGTATGGAGGGAAGAGACGGGAGACCACTGAGATGGTACCGCAGTAGTATAGATGTTGTGATGTGATAGAGGTGGAGATCGGCAAGGTATACTGACCATGTTGGAGCTCATAATCAGGGGGCAAGATGTGGATGAGTTGATGCGTTTACCCCGTGTGTGCGAGTGCACGTGTGTGTGTGAGAGCAGTGGTTAGCGCACTGTGCTACACGCACCCGGTGACATGAGTTTGATTACTCACCACAGCTAACATCAGTTTGCGAAGTGATGTCAGAACCGGTCCATGGCCTCGCCTTGGTCAACTCGGTCTGAAATGAGCACTACCTGGTACGCTCTGTAAATATCAGCAGTGGGGAGAGAGACAAATGGTAACCGGCGTGGCGCAGGCCGCTCCCTCGACCGCCGAGCCGGCGTTGACAGTGAACGTGGTTGGTAGTGAACGGAGTGCGATTCTCAAAGTAAGCGATGGCCGTGGTGGCTCGCAAGGAGGAGGCCTGCACGGCGCGTGGCGGAGTGGGCAGGAGCGGTCCAGGTGCGAGCCGTTGCTCCACGACGCTGGCACTCGAGCATGGAGCCAGCGACGTTCGTGCATCGGACGTGCGCTGAAAAACCCCGCAGCCCCGAGCTCGGCGCATCGTGTTACCAGCGCCGTGTTGATCCTGTCTCTCTCACATCTTAACATGGGAACTGCACATTGTCAAGGGTCACTGGGCAAGTTCACAATGTTAAGTTGCGTAATTCTTGGATCGGATGTCAAAATGTGTCATCCACTGCATGCACGTACGTGTCAATGGGAACGTTGTCGGCGGTGTGGGGAGCGGTGGTGCCGCGGTTAGCGCTACGCTACGAACCTGGCAGCCCGAGTTCGATTCCCGCTCACGGCCAGCACCTAGTGACGATTATCTGAACCGGTCCTGGGCCTCCCCTAGGTCGACTCGGCCTCAAATGAGTACCTGGTGCGATGTGTAAACATCACCACTCGGGAGACAAAGGCGGCCGGGCGTGGTGCTGGCCACCCACCCCCTCTCGTGCGGTGATGTGTTTTTTTTATTACATACTGGTGAGGAGTGCATCATGGTCAAGAATGATGCTGTTATATCAATGTTTATGTTCAAGTGCTTTGTTGTTTAAAGTTTCTAACTGTTTAGATAAAATGGTGTAAACGGCTGACTCTTAAAACTGTCTTGTGACTTTGAGGAGTAAACCATTTTTAAGAGTTTTCCTAATAGAGAATTCCAATGGATTTTTTTTTTACCATTCCTCTTTTCACGTGACGAGTGCAGATGCATGAATGCAATTCCACTTGTTGGCAAACTAACATCTGCATGAAAAGTTGTGGCTCGTGTGTTGGTCAGTTAACATTACAGACTCAAGCCCTAAAGCTTTCGCCGCTGCGATTATTGTCACGGTTATCCACGCTCGCTTGAACCTCTCAAGCAAAACTATATTGGCGACGTCATATGTACCGCCCGAATAAGCGATTTAACTTGGGCGATCCGTAATTAAGATGAGAGGGGAGCTGAGCAAAACAAGAAAGCGGAACGTCGTCATGAAGGGCACATTCGTGGTTGCATCGAAAGAAAACTGAGCGATTTATATTTTATGAGCGCCTAGTTTTTGTGAAGAAATGGTGCCAACGGATACAATAATATTTCCGTGTAGCAGTCGATGGAAATGCTGGTCGCTTGGTTGGCGATGCTGGTTTGCCCAGAATGAACAAACTGAACGCTGCTAAAATATTTACGGTCTGGGAAAGGCACAAAGTTATTTTGCTTTTACCGCAGCTGCGCCCAGTTTTACAATATGGTTTGGAGTTTTTACCGCTTATGCTCTTTACCAACAAAAATGCGTTTTATTATGCAACTGAAAATGTGCTGTTTATTATTACTCGTTCACATTTTTTAAATGTTGTGCAGTTGAGAGATTTTTGTTTTTATTCTCTCTCAACCGTGCACCCCTAATCCGCATCGCTTTGTTGTAAATACCATGCCATGCTGATAAAATATGTGGTCGTTATTGTTATTTTCTTTTCTTTTGCCAACTTGCATCTGTGTCGCATTTTGCAGCGCCCTGTGAGATTGACTTCCAAGTCTCTGGTAGTTAACATCTCACAGTGGCAAGATGTGAACTACCTCGCCTGGTATACAGGAGGTTGTGGGTTCGAACCTGACCCTGACGCCTGCTGTATATTTGAAGTTTGCATGTTTTCCCCGTGGTCGGGTGGATTTTACAGTTTTGCCCTCCACCGTTGGAAACACGCGTTTAGAGTTTTTGGCTGTTTTAAATTTCCACATGATGAGCCACTTCATTGGGCTATCATTTGTGGCCAGGTCGCTTCTGAAAAAAGAGCTATATAGTTCAGTCGGCCTTACCTGGTGGAATAAAAACATTTTCTTTTGTTTTAGTAGATGGTGGTAAATATCAGATCGTGGCAGTGGGGTGTTTATATATCAATTTTTTTTACACAAATTTTTCTGACTGGTCACTGACTGTCCACTGTCCCCTACACACCCCTTCTCCCTGTCTACTCGTCAACTTCAGAGCTGCAAGCCTCGGGCACACTCCAGAACTTCTCGCTTCTGAGCAGAAACAACGACTTCCGCATCCTCCTGCTGGACGAGGACCAGGACCGCTTCTACGTGGGAGCCAAGGACCACGTCGTGTCCCTGGACATGAACAACATTGAGCGCGAGCCACTCACGGTAAGAGCGTCCGGACGGTGGCGTCGGCGTGCTCACGTCAGCCACCTCGTTTCTGAGACATTGCCGCCCTTTCGTAGATTTCTGGGACGCTTCTGGGAAAAACACAACTCGTCCGCAATAAAATAATTGTGGGCGGGGGATTTTCTTTTTGGAAGTAGAAACAAATGGAAGAGAAATTCCCAGAACCTTCAACGTTGAAATCTAAACGTGCCGCGCAGACGTCATCGTACTAATTCGAAGCAGTTTCATACAGTGCGACTGCTTCATTTTTTCTGGTTCGTTTATGTAACTGTTCCATGTTGGCTGCGTATTGGATAGGCTGGCCACTTGCCATGGGAATGTGTCATTTCCACCACCTAGGCTCGAGGCTGTCGGGCAGGGATAAACATTGACCGACTTTTATTCATTGATTGGTCGGCAACATCTCATTATAATTGCGTTTGCATCTGTGAAATGAAAATGGCCCATTGACTAAAAGCAGGCACGCAGTCATGGGAAATACACTGTATACCATGCTCGCACTTGGGACTGCACAAATCTGGCACTTAATGCCTCCCCCCCTCGACCCTTCCAGGTGCAAGTCTTTGTTAATCAACTATGCCCGGCAGAGTTTAGCGTTGGATTATAACAGGGAAATGCCACTTTGACTATGCACAAACAAGCAGTGGACTTTAATGGTAAAGTCACTCTAATTCCACGAGCAGTTCAGTTTCCAGTAACCCAACACGTAGCACGCTTGGTTCGGAGTCAAAGAAAATATGTGTAGGCTGGCACGGAAGTTTCGGGTTCAGGTCGACGCTGTGAGCAGGCGAGGGAGGTAAGCGCCTGCGTGGCTGTTTCTGTTGCGAGGGGGGGGGGGTGAAGAAAATGTAAAAAAAAAACTCGCAGAAGAACAGAACACTTAAAGCGTACAATAGCATCATCGGTTTATTGTTTGGTTTCATCGTGTGTTATCGGAAGACTGGTTGAGCGACACGATTTCATGAGCAGAGCGTGCGCGCGATGTTTGAAGCACACCCATTTTGTGTGCGCCCCACTCTGCGGCAATAATCTGTAAAAAAAATAAAAGTGCGCAATTAAATTTATATCATACACTTCAGGAAAAGTATTTAAAAATGAATGACTGGGTTTAACAAACATTTCAATTATGTGTTTGCCAGTTCATATTACGTTAAGCCTCAGCTATTTGTCAAGTCAATAATGATGCATGACTATGCATCACTTCTTTGCAAAATGGAATTGTGGAATGCATTGGATAAGCAAAAGGTACATCCCCCCCCCCTACCCTTTATTGTTTATTTAAAGTTCTGTTCTATAAAGCACACACCCATTCTCATCTGCTTATTTGTCTGGTGCAGGCCTACTGGCCCGCTGGGAGAGACAGCAAGGAAGAGTGCAAGCTGGCGGGCAAAGACGCAGAGGTACGTTGGCACTTAGCTTAGCAGCAGTGTGCACTGTTTTTCCAGAGTGAGAAACTATCATCATCATCATCACCGTTGGCTTTAATAACGACTTAGCCTGCGGTGAGCACTCTTGCCGTGGAAGCGGGTGAATGCTGCACCAAAACGTATGATTCATGCAACAGCCGGATCGTTGTAGGGTTTTTGTGGTTACTGCTGCCAGTGATATAAACACCCACGATTACCATGGCGGAGGATCTTTCATCGCGTCACAAGCGCTGTTCACTTCCTCCACGAGGTAGGAAAATATCAAACTCGGAGCGATGATCGACTCGAATCCTCGGATTGGATTTGAACCTGTGAATATATCTGAGCCTGTCCTGTGCATGCAAATCACTTTCACCAGCCCACGTCACAAAACCCGCACTGATCAGCGTGGTGAGGTATGGTCAAGCAGCCCCCACGACCGACACGGCATGGAGAGGCCTTGATCCAGCAGCGTATTTACTATGGACTGTAAGTGCTGTTTATCTCAGTTTAAATATGCCCAGCGGAACTGAACGGATTCGCTTTTGAGTCATACTGATAAATAAAACCGTTTTACCAAAGAACAGCCTGGAATGCAGAAATTAAACTTTATTTTAACTTTATTGCTCAGCTCGATAGCTTTGTTCTTAACTCCAAAATCGAGTGCTAACGCAGTCGTGGAAATCTTTGGGAATGTCGTCAATTTGAAATAACTCAAGTCCTGCCAGCTGGGTGGTCTATAAAAAATATTAGTTTCACTGTTTCCCTACATCACTGAAGACCTTTTAGTAGAAATCGAATGGTGAACAAACATTAAAATGAGTGTCAGTGACATGAGTCTACTTTGCAGCCCCAGTACATCTGTCAATCTGCTATCTTGTTACAATATCCACTACATATAAAAAGAACACGTTTTTATAATGTAGGCAGTTGTAAGGAAAGTCTTCGGCTCCATCGTGGTTTTTCTAATCTCATCTCATAAATCATCTAACCAACCCTAACATTACAAAATTAGCGTCCGAATCATGAATCAGATGTAACGGCGGGCACACGACACGATTGGCACGCTTTCAAACGCTCGCGCAAATATTTAGCTTTTTTACCCCCGTGGCAGATTTATTAATTTCGGCACGGTCATATGAACTGGCGCCGGCGATATAGGCCTCTATCCGATGGCTTGTGCGGACGGCACCGTAACCCTAGACCCATGCGCGACCCCGTGAACCGGCCGCACCCCCTGGAGCCCGTCGCCCGCCAGAGCGGGCGCGTGGCACGGCGAGAGTCTGCGCGTGCGGCGGAGACAGGTGTGCAAATACAACTGCGTGGGCAGTGCGTCCGCCCGCCCGCGCGCCCGTCCCCCGAGAGCTCGGAAGAAAAGGGCACGGTCGAAAACGCCCCGACATGTCGCTGCGTGGCAGCTTTGAGTGCATTCTTGGGCAACCGTCGCGAAGGCCGCCGCCGTCACCGCCATCGCCGCCGTCACCGCCGTCGCCGGGGACCAACGCGGTGGTGGCGGCGGCGGTTGTAAAGATGCTCGTTGCGATGAATATTTATCACGTTCGGGTCGGCGACGACGTGAATAAGAGTGCAGGAGCAGTTGATGGGTCCTTGTAAGTGCTTCTTTAGTCACATCTGCAGTTAAATCCCCGTGTATATATATATATATATACACTGGCACAGGCCAAAGTTGATTGACGGGTGTGAAGAAGCCTTTGTGACAGCGGAGGGAGAGCGACCGTGGGGGGGGGGGGGGGGGTTAGGATGGCCGCATCACCGCTCCAGACACATGTTCGCCCGAGTCTACATCTCACGAGCAGCTGCGCATGCTTGCCATGAAATTGGCCAGCACCCAACGTGTCAATCACAGCTGATGCAACACTCGAGCGGTCTCCCACAGACATCCACTTTGCACTTGACGAGGCCGAGATGGCTCGCACGCTGGTCCCGGCGGATGCTCCTACACGGTCGATGTACGGAATCAATTGGAAGTTTCTGTACAACGGACAGTGGTCAGGAGCTCTCCCATACGTTGATATGTTGGACCATGAACGTGTTAGTACCATTGAGAGGTGTTGAGAAGAAGAAAAACATGCATGGTAGTCCTTTCACGTGTTTCAATCGGTAGTCCTTTCACGTGTTTCAATCGTGTGTCTAAACATGACACATGACTCGGATGTCTATCACAAAATTGCGATACGAATTCCCAAAATACGTTACATACATACATTGCTGTATGGTTGTGTGCAAAGTTAATATAATTAACCACTTTACATCTATTTGTAGCCTCATCACTCTACTGCAAATGTTAACCAATAATGAGCTCTTGCAGAACATTTTGTTACAATTAATGAATGATTTCCCACTACCTAATTTATCTAAATGCGCAAATACAATTAATATCAATGTGTCCTCAGATGCAGTAACAATGCTTTACTTTAAACATGCACTTGTTTTAGCATTTACACTTCATGAAGAATTACCGTCAGGCGCATATGCTGTTTAGTACGGCTTTAATTCTTGTGCTGGTGACACGTGCCATGCACCAAACCGATACCCACTTCTTCCCTCTCTCTCTCTGACGAGAGGCACAGCCTTCTAATGGCCATTGTTGCATCGGGTGATCTCCATTCACTGATGTGCTGGCGGTGGATTGCAGGTAAAAGCAACCGATGCCTGTGAACCGAGCATTTCCATCGGTAACTGTTGACGTTGACGAATATAAGGACTCAACTATGTACCTATCTACATACATACTAGTTTTTTGCCTTTTGTTTCATAATGAATTGTATTTATATAAACCCTTTTGCTGATTTTTAAAGTGTTATATGGACAGGACAGGTGACATTTTAGCATGTACAGCAACCATAAACACATGAGTAAAACTCTACACAATATACATAGAAGTAAAAACGTAAACATCTTGGGAACAGTAGCCAATCGGCTGTTTTAATTGTCATAGTTGATTCTTGATTTGAAGCTTTCGTGACTGCAGAAATCCATACTCTTTGGTCTTCCAGTTGTTTCTTGCTGTGGTTGTCCCGCCTGATGACGATTGCTTGTGTTGCGATCGAAGCGTCATGATCTATGATTTTTCTACCTCTGTGACTTTACCGAAAGAACCAAAGACTATGTCATAGTTGAATTCAGCACATCAAAATCCATAATGAAGAGCACAAAGCTTGACGACGTCTAAACAATTGTAGACCCGTGTAATTGGAACGTCCGGACCCACGTTCCAAGGGCATGGTTGCGATATCGTAAAGTCGCTCATCGTAGCGCGCGGGGTTGTTGCCGAGCGGCATGTCGCTCGCGCCACGTGTCGCGAGCGACGGCGGTGGTGGTGGAGCCCTTCTTGTCCACCGACGCTGGCGTCTGAAACCCCTGGCGAGCTTCTGCGCTACAAGCAGCAATTATCGTAATTACACCCTTTCGCAATATGCCACTAAAGTTACGTTATTTCACCTATTCAGGTATGATCTAACGCACAATGAATGGTGGTAAAATTATTGTACGTAGTATAACGTTAATGGTTGAGATATGGAAGGTGTTGTAGCTTGTGCGTGTTGTTCCGGATTAAATAGAACAACTTTAACAACAGTTGCTTTTTGTTTCGGTAAAGTTTAACATTTTATACAATCAGATTTAGCAGCTTCGTTAACTTTATTGTAACCGAAATAATAACTCAAATAAAATACCTTTATAGGTACTGAGGCTCCCACAGTGCAATGCTCGATGGTGTGTGGCACAGTTTGGCACCAGCTATCATAGAGTGCGGTCGTGTCACTACAGTTCTCTGCGGTGAGTAACAATGTCTTTAAAATTAGCGGCACTACGCCTCTCTAAATAAAATTATCGCTGAACTGCTTGCGCGTTCCGAGATTCAGCGGTGAACGGGACACCCACCCTGCAACTTCCAGGACGTCTCAGAACGAGAAAGGGTTAACAAAAATAAAATGATAAATGGCACCCTAATCCAACTTGGTTCTCATGGCAACCGTAGTTTTTTTTTCTTTAAATGTGGTTGGAATGAGTGTGTGATTTGGCTTCCCGTTCGGGCAGGTAGCAATTCCGAGGTCATCTCTGGGAGCACAGCCCCACACTGTGGTCCATCAATCAGGGACATCCGTGGAAATATTTTAATGTTTGCACCAGTATTTCTGGCAGGCGAGTGTAATATCTCTCACCCCCCCCCCCCCACCACCCCTCTCCTGGCACCTGGCACAGCAATTGAGCGTTAGATGGGGTTTTTTTACTCCTCTTCATGCAAGCTGCACGCTTTTTTCATAGTTCATCCCAGGAACAATGAAAACCATATTGTTTTTGAGCGGAGGACTGCTACTGGAATGAAATCTATTCCAGATTTCAGGCATGAGCATTTTATTTTCTAATTTCAGGCAGAATTTAGATAAATATGATTTGCTGTGAACTAAAACACCCTTTCAGTTCGTCAGGTAAGTTTTATTTTTGTATTAGACCTGAAACTACAAGAGGACAAAAACCAAGATATTCAGGGAAAAAACAAATATGTATATTTAGTACAAAACCGTAAAGGTGCAGCCCTGCAATTGCTTGCTAACGGCACTGGTGGCAGAAGAGGCCTGCACTACAGGGAGCTGGCAGGGAGCTGGCAGGGCCCCAGGAAAATGTTGATTTTGGACTCGTCTCCCATGCTGACCAGGCGTCTTGGAAGAGGTGGCAGTATCCACCCCACCACGCGCACGACCCGCCGGTTAACTGTTTTATAAACAAACGGGCAAAATATAACATGCCACCTTTTAAAGGACAAATAAGCATTGAATAACCAAAAGGACTTGGAACTAAAATAAATATTGAGATAGAGCAAGCTGCCCATGTCTATCTGCCGTAAGCCTTTAAATACGTAACTTTGTTTGCGAGGACACATTTAATATACCGCACAGAACTGCCTGAAGGGGCGAACAAATGGCGGTCTCATTTAAGTACAAGACTGCAATATAATGACCATAATTTGTTTC